CTGCAGGGCAGCGGGAGGATAGCGCGTTGTTGCCGGTGGCCCTCTGTAAGCGGGGGGGGGGGACTCATACTTAATTGACAGTTTCTAGCTGAACAAGGTTCCATGCATCCAAGATGAGTACGGAGTCATTGCCTTGACCGCTTAATCGTGAAAGCGACTTCATCCGTCCAACGAGTACATTGGACACCGACTCGCTGAGAGTTGAGCTCCCGGTTACTCTCAACTTGGTTTGGCCTGCCTGTCGGGCGGTTTACCGTGGTGTAGCCGCTGTTGTATCTAAACAGCTTCTTGGAGCCATAGGTGAGAACTGAGCGTCTGGTGGAGACCAAAGAACGAAGGATGCCCCAAAGGGGCTGACAGACATCCGAGTCAGAGGTGCTACTCATACGGGGTACCCCATCCATCAACTGGGCAAGAGATGTTCCATAATCGCCTAACAACGGCCCAATGGTGCTAAATTTTCACTAAAAACAAGAGTTGGAGGGAGACAGCTACGGACATCGGTGCTTAAACACTACTGCTTAGTACATAGACATTGCAGTGCAATTCACCAAAGAAGCCTGATTTCTCGTGCAGCCTTGTCCGACCAGCACTGAATGAGGAGCCAGATGCTTTGATTTTCGAAATAGGCGCTCTGCTTTTGGTAATCCTCGGCTTCATTTTGGGCAAGCATAGTACTGAAACGATCCCAGAAGCCGGAAAATCCCCAGAGTAAGTCAAAGGATTTCTTGCCATCTATCGTACTTTTTGCGTTGTCTTTTAGCCAGGACCGGCACAAGCAAATAAAATCAATGTTAACTGCCGGCAAAACGATTTAATTAGGTTCAGTTTTATCTTGTACTTACCGTGCAATTTAACCAAATTAATATCCCCAGTATGATTTCAAATAACATGCAATCTTTCAAAAATTATCTAATAAAGTCTGCTTACCGTGAAATGCACATTTGAAGAGCATGAAAAGCTACGAATACCCTCAGTGCCACGGACTTTCGTCATCCTTAAGACTTGTTTTATCGGCCTCTAGCAACCCTAGGTTTAAACCAATGGGTACAGGTCCGATGTAAGCAATGTGGTAGCACATGATTAACATAACCAGCACATGCATATGTGAGAAACATCTTACAAATTCTGACGAAAGAACACATAGTTCTATGGTCTTTTGCCCTCAAAAATTGTAGTATTGCTCACTCAGATTTCCGGCATAAAATTCGGGTATCTGACATAAAAAGTCGATCAGCAGAACAGCGTTGTGTTGGTTCTTCGGTTATATCTTTATCAGGTATTTAGTGGCTTTTGCTTGGATTAGTTTAAGGTCCGTAGGGAAATTCCACAGAATGCCGGATAAATTGATGAATAGAGAGGTTTCGTAACAGTGTATTTAGCATCGACTCTGAGTGATTAGTTCTATCTAGTATCAAAGTGAATGGACTCACAGACACAACCTTGTATACGATTTAGCTTTCGTAAACCAAGTTGTCAACGGTGGGAGTTTAATTCTTTGGCTACCACTGCACATGTTTGAAGCTGTGCCGTACTAATCACGGTAAACAATCTTTAAAACAACGAAAGTAATTTATGCTTAACTGATGGGTAGGAAACTGACATTATGTGTTGAATGGTAGCCCTTTGATTGGCCGCTTCCCCCTTCCTGAAAATCGTATTTTTGTATATTCAATAAAAGGAAGTAAAATGAGAAAGAAAAATGAAAGAAAGAAGTTGTTTTAATCAAAGTAAGTTAATTCACTTAGGAGATTCATAACTAGAAACCGGACAGACAAACAGTGACCATCGAAGCTCTGAGGTAGTGTGTAGAACTGTAATTCGTTGACGTCCGGTGTCCACTTCATCGGATCATACACCCTTCGAGTGGTTTCAAGCGTCCAGTTTGTCCATTACACATTGATGTGCAATCAAACCGGTTACCACTGTCAGAACCACGAAGACGTTTATGTGGTTTCTAGCCTCTTAATGGTTGCTTTGAAATCAATACTTTTAATCAACTCCCCTAGGAGAACTGTGGTCAGTGGTTCATCATCCTGGTTTTAACCCAAAATATTGGCTTTTTGTCCTCTCATTTTGGTGGTGAGACGCTTGGTCGAATGGGAGCCTTTTGCGGGATGCAACGGAAGGGTGATCAGCAACAGCCCAAGGCGCTCACCCTCGAACATACTGAAGCTTTCAGTAGCTAAGAATAAACGAAATGGTGATATCTCTATCCACACGAGTTTTTTTTAAACTTGATACGATGGATGACGAGGACCTAACGTTTAAAATCCCTATATATTTTGCGAGATAGAGCTCTCACCTAATCCCTAAAAATCTGGGTGACTGTATTTGGTCCCTTAACTACCATTGTTTGCCTACAGCTTGGTAGTTGATCAAAATGCTATGAATTATTCTACCGAATCAGAATACATTACCAAATGTTTATTCCAAAGCTTGACTCACTACGTCAATTCTGTTGGACTAAAATCAGTGGCCTGTGTTGCACGAAAGCCCGTGGTTCAAGTGCACGTGATTTGCCTCATCTGCTAATGTTCAAATTTGTGTTGTTGTTTGATCGATTAAAAGATTTTGTCAACTGGTCAAGCGCATGATGAGCTCGTGGTTATTCCATTTTATTCCAAAATAGTATTGGCATTGAACATTTGCTAAGTTATAACCCAGCATTCAGCCGAAAAGAAACTACCGCCTTAATACTGGCAAAAAGAATACAAAACGAGATATCGAGCTTTTAAAATATGAATTAACTAATAGTTGCATTACAAAGTAAGGTGGAAACACTCCTTGCAGCCCCCGCGATTTAACGCAGATTTACTTTAACGCTTACTAGTGTATTATCTGTGCCATGGCTCTTCAATACACGTCTGTCGAAACCACAAGTCTTGTGGTGTTACCGGTGGTAACGTGGTCGCTTACGAGATTCGCTTTTGAGGGTTATCATGACTAACCGTGGTCAACGTACTTCAACTCTATGAGGTACATATAGCAACGAAGTACTGATTCACAGACTATCTATCTTCATCTTGTGACATCCATTGTCCAGAAGAAGATAATTCAACAAACTCATAGCACATGATCATCTGACAGTGACAAAAGACCGCGAGTGGTTGTATGTCCCGCTCCGCGTTTTGGCATCTAGTCACTCGACGACTGACTTGTTTTGCGATCTCAATCCGGTTGTCAAAATTTGTGCACATGCGCTCGTTCAATCACGCGACCAACTTCACTGTACTTGTCCAAACAAGTGGTTTCGTTTGGCTCACGTTAGCGGGCCAAATGACGAAGGTCACATTCGACTATCGATCAGACTGCGTAAAGACCTAAAAACGCAACAAGGTATATCATCCTCGGAGATTGATTACCACACAAGAATCACTGCATTTGAACCGAAAGGTCAAACTGTTGAGTGCTTAGAATACCCCTGAATGATACCATCGGTTTCATATCGGAGGGTTAGTTGATACGCACATGTTTTCAATCAGTGACACCCCTTGAGAAAAATGTGCTACATTCGGAGAGTGACCGATTTCTCTTGGTAGGAGGTAAACAATGGTACGTTTGACGGAAACGTGTCAGGAGCTAATGATTCAGGAATGTTCACATGAAGCGTCATAAATGGTGCTTAAATATTAGTCAAAGCAATCCTGTAACAGTTTTTAGGCTAGGAATGTCCTAGAACAAGTTTTAACCAGGTAGTGGGTCGTGCTGTGATAAGCAAGGCATGTTGCCTGCGACAAGCTTGCAATCATTGGTTGTGCAAGTTGAAGAACAGGTTTGGTCAGCTTCCCAGTGGTCACGTGGAAAGTTTGCTTGCATTCTACCAGCGGAGTCCTGGGTTCGATCCTCTGTTAGTCCGGTGAATTCGCAAAGCAAATGAGACCCATTCAGATTGAACCAGTTGTGCAATACTGCTTGGTTTTCAGCACACGCTTCACTACATCTGTTCATCTTGAAATTTACCGCTGATTCCGACTGAATGTATAGGTCACAAAACTTTTGAACCCCAAGGAAAAAAATATTAGGAGGTAGCTCATATTCTTATTCAATCACCCATGTGTTCACTCTCGTTGAGCAAGTGAAAGGTCAAGATTGTTGGTGTGAATTTTGTGGAAAAGTTTCAATTTATTCATGCTGTTGATTTCACTGGCCAACAGTTGTTGATATTTGAACTGACACGGTAATATTTACCGCACCCTATTCGATCTCACTGGTTAAAACTTCATGTTTCCAATTGAATCATCGTCTAGAAGCTCTGTTAAACACGTCGTTTGATGTCAGATCATTCCAGCTAGCTACCTAGTATTAAGAACGCTAAACAAAATTCTAACCCTAAATGGTAATTTCTGCTCACAGACAATGTACATATTCCTGAATTGTGTTCGATTTGTATCGAATAAAAGCACAGCAGCGAAACACTGTTACGTACTTACTAGTCCGTTAGTGGACCGTCTGTTCTCTTGTTGAGATCAAAATCAGAACACAAAGACCTTTGTATTGTGATTAATTTTGAAGTGTGAATGAACCGGCAGTGTTGACTTTTGATGAAGTCACATATCACCGTGATTAGAGCCCAAAACGCGAATCAAAGTGAGCTCATCAAGTGCTTCCTTGACGGATGGCGCGCGATGGCGAAGGTCCCTAAAGACAAAGTGTCGAGAAAAAAGAGGGTGTGTTTCACGGACAATAGGTCGAGCAATCACGTGGTAAGCGACAAAACAACATCTGACCTGATACACCAAAGCTCAGGTGCAGCTTCCGTTTCTACTACCGTCTTTTACTGTGTCGTTATCTGCAATTCAAAATCCTTTCAGGTGTATCAACAAGCACTTCTTAGTGTTACGTCTAAACAATAAAAAAAATAAATGTGATCATTATTTGTGGCTAAGAGGAGTTAAGTAAGCACTCCCGGATGGATTCGTAATTGTAAACATTGCCCATGGTATACACTGATGTCTTGAATGTCGGAAAGTTTGAGTTGTGCAGTGTGCCTGATAAAAAAATGGTTTTCTAGAAATCACGAAAAAGAAGTTGCTTGCGTTCTGCCTGAGAGGTCCCGGATTCGAGCCCCAGATGGGTCCATGGATTTGCACTGTTTATGGGACCGAATCAGATCGAGACGGCTGTCCAATGCTTACCTGCTTCTCATTTCAGGCTATATATGCTATGTACACGACGAATTTCCCTTTTGAAAATATTTAAGCGCCCATACGTTTGAGCAGCTTCGAGTGAGAAATCTGTTGAAAGTGCAGACACTGTCGTGCATAAAAGGCCGATTCATTATTTTAATATCCGCATGGTTTTCCTGTTTCTATTTTATTAGCCTAAATATTTTTTCATTCAAACTGTAATAGTAATCCTTGAGCTTCCCAGGACTATTTCGCTAACTCTCGGATGCTGACCGTTTCGGCAGTTTATAAAATGAACAATATCAAGTACACAGGTATCACTTTGAAGAGTATATTGAAATAGTATTCCGACTGCTGGCGCTGAACAGATACGGTTAACTTACCTTATGCATAAGTCACGGCAATTCACGGCGGAAACCCCAAGTTTCTTCTTTCTGTGTATTTCGCTGGGTTTCCCCCGTGTGTTCGCCATTTTGTACTTCACCCAATGTTTCCGGAACAATGAAAGAAGACATTGCTGCTTTTTTGGCTGCATCTTTAGCTAAACACCAAGTTGTGTGATCTATAATAGATGGATATTTTGTGAGTGTTTTTGCTCACTCGGTCCTCAGTGACGGAACACATTCTACTCATTCCACACTGATATCAGAAACATATCCCTCTTCCGTGTTTCATCCGAATCTCCACTTGTGAAAACAAGGTAGCTACGGAACTTCACAGGTAAATTTAACGATGAATGATCGGATATTTAGCTTCTTTTTATCCTTCATAGAACGGCGTGACATTTTGACTGAAATCAGTGCATGTCTAAAGACGTTCTAACCGGTTTCCGTGTTATCCGAGAAACAGATACAGTTGATGTATTGTTGTTCTTGTCTGGGACTTACTCCCCTTGAGTTTATTTCAACCCAACTAGTTGTAATCCGTTTTGCTAGGATCAGCAAATATCACTGGACCTCTGCTTCAGCATTCTGAGGGGGGGGGCGTCGCTGGCAATGTGCAGCATCGTTGTACCCCTGTTGGAAACGCAACAAACCTAAGGGCGGGGAGGTGAAACCGTTAGCCCAAAGCTGTACGATCCACGGTCAACACA